GGGGCTCTGCCAGAAGGAGTTGGCCATTCAGGAAGGGGATTTTGCATCCAAACTCATTCCGTTGCTTCGAAATCTCGTTTCTGCCGAGAGGACGGTGGAGGTGGCGCCACTGTTGGGTGAATTCCTTTTCATCAAGGATGAGGCGGCGCTGTCATGTGTGGAGAAGGCGGCAGGTCTTTGCAGTGCCGTCTTCCGACGATTTATACGCGGACTAATCGAGGAGGAGACACAAAGAACACACCCAAGGGCGTTGAGTGCCATTCAGGAAGAGATCTCTCAGAGGCTTCAGATGCCAAACACAGTGAAGGGTCTCGAAAGACTTGAAATCTCCCAGTTTTCCATTGCGTCGGGCCTGACACCATGCGTCATGCACCGTGGAACGTACGAATCCCAAATTCAGGTGACTAAACTGAGCACCCAGCCATTGCGGGGGGACATAATTGTTGTCCGTTACGGTGTAAAGAACTGCGGCTACACAGCCTTTTTTGCTCGCACGCTCATTGTGGAGGCAAATGCACCTTCTAATGCGAAAGATGCATATCAGTTTCTTTATTCTGTTAGCGAGAAGGTGATGGAGCTGCTGCGAGTGGGCACCAGACTAAATGAAGTGTACACGGGGGCCATAAACCACGCCAGAGCCACCAACGAAACACTGGCTAAACATTTGCCAACTTCTCTGGGATTCTCCACTGGTCTTATGGTGCTTGAGGCTCGAGGGACCATCTCTGAAAAGGGGACCGCGACCATTGCGGATGGGATGACGTTTGTTGTGCGTGTGACGCTTGAGGGGGTGCCGGATGGCGGCGGGGAGAGTTTTGACTTGGAGTTGTCTGACACCGTGACGATCAAAAACGGTGCGGCCCAACTTAACACGAAGACAACTCGCAAGCTGGAGGAAATTCTTTACGAGGGGGAGACGCAGGAGGAAGCCTTTGACGTCAGTTCACGTGAGTTGAACAAGATTACCCGTCAGGGACAGAGCAGCGTTCCTCTCTTGTCGAGGGAAGCCGCTCGGGAGGAAAAACTCAAGTCCCTGTTGAGAGAATTACACGCGGAGCTGATTGCCGCGGGGGGGAAGAAGGCAACAACAACTGCGACTGAAGAACTACGCGTATACGAGATGGGCCGCCTTGCGTATGGCGATATTATTCCGTATCCCAAGGAGGGCACTCTACCACTACAAGCACGGAATGACATCTACGTGCACGTTGAGAAGGAAGTTGCTTTTTTTCCTGTTTGCGGGGAAATTGCGGCATTCCACGCCTCGACCATCAATAAAGTGGACGTGAAACCAGAGGGCGAATATGTCACCTGCACTGTGACGTTTCATTCGTTGCAAGAGGCAAATATTGCGTACCGGCTTCATCGAACAAAGATTTTCGTAAAGGAATTGAGTTATCGCGCTTCTTCCGATGTTTTCTCAGAGGTGAAGATTGCCATCCAGGGTATCCACCAGCGGATTAAGAACAGAGACACAGAACGGCGGAGGATATCTACAACCGCAGGAGGAACCAAACTAAATGTCACACCAAATTCACTACGGCTCCCTCAAGTTAAAATAAGACCAACAGCCACTACCGGCCGCCAAAACAAGGATTGCATCGGGAACCTTGAGCTTCATCAGAACGGACTTCGTTTCTCGTTTATTGGTGGGGTGCCAATTGACATACTGTTTGATAATGTTAAACACATCATATTCCAGCCAGCTGTCAACTCCATCCGCGTCATTTATCATATTACCCTAAAAAAGGGAGTAGAGATTGCTCGTAAAAGCGTGGATGAAGTGCAGTTTGTGGCCGATGTCATGGAAAGCAGTGAGGCTGTCACGGGTGGAAGGAAATCTTACGATGAAGAAATCGCGGCTGAAGAACGTGAACAAGCGCGTATTAGTGAGACCAATAAGCAATTTATGCGCTTTGCTCAGGCGGTGGAGAAGATGAGTAACATAAAGACGCAGATCCCTGTGAGTAACTTTTCTTTTGAGGGCGTTCACGCCAAGGGGTTGACCACCTTCAAAGCTAACAGGGAGGTTCTCTGGGCAATCTCCGACAGACCACCGTTCACGCAGCGGGTGGCGGATATCGAGGTGGTGTCGCTGGAGCGTGTCATACCGGGTGGCTCCACGTTTGACATGTCGCTTATTTTTAAGGACTACAACAAACCGGCGGTAACTCTCACAACAATTCCGAGAAGCAGTTTGGAGGTGATTAAGGACTGGTGCCTCGCATCACGGCTGTATTACATGGAGACCACCGTGAATCCCAACTGGAAGGTCGTGCTCAAAACAATTCTTGACGATGCAGAATGGGACCCCTGGCGACCCGGCGCGGGGTGGGCGGTACTCAACAACGACTTTGACGGAGACGAGGAGGAGGAGGAGGAGGAGGACTCAGACACCGATGACTCGACGTACAACGAAGATGACGACGAGGAGTCGGACGAAACAGGAAGCTCTTTTCTCGAGGATGAAGAAAGCGAGCCCGACAACAGCGACGATGAGGATGAGGAAAGTGTGCTGAGCTGGGACGAGATGGAGCGCCGTGCGGAGGCTCAGGACCGTAAACGCGGGTACACATCCGATGGCGATGACGACAGGCCGCAGAAGAGAGCTCGTGTAGGAAACGCATCGAGGGCTGTGCCGCTTCCGACCAGGGGAAAGGCAGCTCGCATGCCAAATCCTGGAAGCGCAGTTCCTCCCCCACGCAGATTTTAATTGGGCGCACCTTATAAAAATATATAGATACATATATATTTCTTTTTGTTTCCCCCATCTTTTTCTCTCTCTCCATTTTTGTCTCCAGAAGAAAATTTGCTGTTGTTTTTTCCGCATAGAGGCTTTGGCAATGGTATTTGAGCAGATGAAATGTGGGGTGTAGGAGGCATCATCTCTTTTCTTTTGATCCTAGCTGTTTTTTTTTTTTCTTAACTTTCTGAGAATTTTACATCCTGACGCAGCTGCATCTTGTTTTGCCGGTCTTTTTTTTTTTTTTTTGCGTGCTGCTCAGGATTAAATAAGTGGCGTTACAAATAAATCCGGACGCAACCTTCCTACATACACGCTGATATACCTGCAAGAAGGTGCAGGCCAATCTACCGTGCGTGCTTGTTATAGGGGGTACACCGCGGATCTGAGTTCGTTGGCTCGCTCTCTGCTCAGAAACTTGGGGCGCGTGCTGTCACAATTGGAGACGACTCAATCAAACGAAACAAGTGTTACACATAAAAAAAAAACAAAAACAAAAACAAAACAGGAGCGGCATAAATTGACATGAGAAAACTGACAATTGGGGAGTTGTTGTGATTTATGCTGATCATTATTGTCTTTTTTTTTTTTTTTTTGTGGGGTGCCGACGGATGGCCTGTGGGGGCCTTTCTTCAGGTTTACATGCGGCTAGGTAGACATGTGCGGCGGCTTTTGAGTGCGGTGGCCAGACGGGATTTTGGCACGGGAGGGACGCGATGCTCTCAGACAACACGGCTAGTCGAGGTCACGGAATCGCCAATAAAAGATGTCAAGATTATTGCCATGAAAAATCCTGCGGCGAACATTCTTTCGGCATCTCTTATGAGCGATCTTTTGGATGCAATCTGTGAGCTCTGCAACCCCGAGAAGGATGCTTGCCGGGGCATCGTTTTGACCTCCGCACTTGTTGGTGCTTTCAGTGCGGGTCTGGACCTAAAGATGCTTCACGCGAAATTGGAATATGAGTCCTTCATGCATTACTGGGGTTTGCTTCAAAAGGTGTATGTTACCCTCAACACCCTTCCAGTTCCTCTTGTTTCAGCCATAAATGGAGATGCCCTTGGCGCTGGCTGTATCATTGCCCTGGCGTCGGACTACAGGGTCATGGCTGCAAAAGCGGGAGATGAGGGGAGACCATTTAAAATCGGCCTCAGTGCCACCAAATGTGGATTGACGGTTCCGCCATCTTTTGCTGCTCTCACTTCACATGTTGTTGGACATAGAGTGTGTGAAGAACTTCTTCAGCTTGGGTAGCTTGTGGATGCGTCGACTGCAGAAAAAATTGGGCTTGTAGATGAGACCGTAGAGGATGCAGATCAGGTTCTTATTCCAGCCCTGGATACGGCTGAGAGATTGTCCAGCGTAGTCCCCTGGTGCTACTGGATGGTGAAGGACGTGTCACGGAAGAAACTTGTTGCGCCCTTTTGTACGCCAGCACTCCGACATGCCGAGTGCTTAAATTTTTATGAGATGCTCAACAACCCCGACGTGAGGCGAGATCTCGGAGCATACATGGCAGGTGCATGATTGAGAGGGAGTTGTTACCACCAACATCGATGAGGCCGCACATTTTTTCTTTTTCCTTGGTACCGTTGACATTTTGCTTAAATTTTTTTTTTTTTTTTTTGTTATGTTGTACGGTCCTTTTTTGTTTTGTTTTAGGAGCTTGTGAAGAGAATGATCGCGAGGGAAGCTGGCTGCCTTAATTAACGTATATACATATATATATGTATATGTCTCCTGGTAAAACGAATACGCACTTCTTTACGACACTTTTCTACCGTATGAATTTTTGGGACGCACACGACTTTAGTGGTTGGGGAGAGCAGGGAACCGATAGCGGCCGGATAATTTTTTTATTTTTATTAATTTCATCTTCCCGCTCACCCACTTTTTGATCCTCAAACACGCGGCGGGGTGTTGTGGCTGAAGGACCCCAAACTCTGTCACGTCGTAAGGAATAAATAAATAAATAAATAAATAAATATATGTATGTATGTATGTATCTCATCCGAATAGAGTGAGCGGGCCGCGACTGTGAATAACGGATGTTATAAAAGTATAAATGTACACCTCCTGGGTGTACACTTTGAGGATGAGG